TTTCTGACAGAGTCTTCCTGTGTCACCCAGGCTGGAGTGCGGTGGCGCGAATTCAGTTCACTACAACCTCCACCTCCCTGGTTCAAGCAATTCTCCTGCCTCAGCCTCCCAAGTAGTTGGTACTACATGTACAACCACCACGCCCAGCTAATTTTTTGTAGTTTTAGTAGAGATGGGATTTCACCATGTTGGCTAGGCTGGTCTCAAACTCCTGACGTCAGGTGATCCACCTGCCTCAGCCTCTCAAAGTGCTGGGATTACAGGTGTGAGCCCCTGTGTACCATGCACCCAGCCTGCATTATTCTCTTTCATGACTCTGTGTCATCCTATTGCAACAATATAGTATAAATTATTTAGCTAGTCTTTTACAGGTGGATGTTTACCTTTCTTTCTTTTGCCATTATAAGCAATTCAAACAGCAAGTCAAACAGATCTGTTACATAAATTCATTAAAGTGAAGCTGTTGGATCACAGATATGTCCAATTCTCATTTTGGCCCAAACTGCCAAACTCCCTGGGAATTTCCAAGAGATGGTATTACATAATAGCAAGGGTTCTGCTGCCAGACTGCTGGGGTTTGGCTACTGGCTTAGCCACTTACTAGTTGTGTAACCTGGGGTAAATTACTCCAAAATACTGTACCTCAGTTTCCTCATTCATAAAATGGGGGAGAATAGCACTTGTTTCCTCTCAGGGTTATTACAAGGTTTAAATGAGAGAATACATGTGAAACAGTATAACACCTGACACAAAACAATTCCTGGGTAACTCTGACACAAAACAGAAAAGCAAAAATCAAAACAAGACAAGTAGAATTCCTGAGACAATGGGGAATAACCCCGATTGACCCATCTTGGTTTGGGTCCCTGCTTCCATGTGACACTAATGGTTCTAAATGACTCCAAATTGGGGCTACACATTTAGGCTGCACTGATGAGGCTGGCATAGGTACAGGGCATGGTATGCCTAAGGGGTCTGGCCATTTCACTAGGACCAATGTGATCCCCCCGAGGATTAGGCCCTTGTCTTTGCCTGCCTGTCACAATAGCTAACACAGAGTTAAGTGTGGGGTTTCATCACTAGAACCTCCAAAAGAATGATGTGCCCAGAGTGAGGTTTAATGCTGACAATGGGCATAGGAGGCTTATCTGCAGAAAACAATGCTGAAAGAAGTGCCTTGCCTAAGATCACACAAAAGGAAAAGATGGAGGTAGCATTAGTATAGGAGAAGGCATTCTCTTTCCACTGTGCAACACTGTGTCCAGCTACCTCTCTGTAAGTGACTAAGGGAAAGGAGTTGGCCATTTAAAGAAATGATGTTAATGACAATGATGTTGACTATGACAACAGCCAGCTAACTAGCATCTATTGAACACAATGGGCCAAACACTGTTAACTAACTAAGCACTTTATATGGATTATTTTACTCAATTCTCATAACCCTATGGTTGAGTGTTTATTACTGATACTTACTGGTTGAGTGTCAGGAGTTCTTCTAAGCACTTTACACATGCCGACTCACTTCATTCTCACAACAATCCCATGAGGTAGGTACTAATATTACCTCTGTTTTAAATGAGCTGAGGGATGGAGAGATTGGCTAACTTACAAAAACCTAGTGGGTGGAGGATTCACAGTTTTAACTCAGACATTCTGGCTATTCTTTTTCTTTTTAGACTTTAGATGCAGAAGGCTGAATTAATACTCTTCATGGCCTCACTCTTGTTCTATTTATGTCTATCTATTGATTATCTATCAATCATCTGTCATCTATCCATCCGTATATTTTATTTGTTTCTCCTCTTATTCTCCTCCCCCTCCCCAGAAGTGACCATTCACCGTACTTAATTAAATGTGCATCTTTTTGTTTGTGTAAGTTGTACAACCTGTGCTGCTGCACTATGGAAGTCTTCTGCAGCTCTAGCCTGCTCTAAAGTGCTTGAACTACTCTACTACAAAAGCTAACTCATACACTGCACACTGCTCCTTCTCTCTCTGTTGATGATAAGCATAAGCCGGTAAGTGAGTCTGAGAGCATGGAGACTCTGTAGTCTTGGTTCAATTTCTGACTAACAGATTTGAGTTAATGCGGTTACAACAGATCTTGGAAGGTAAGCAAGATAAAAGGATAAGCTAGAGACCAATGCAAGTTTGAGGGTTGATTGGGGGTCTGGCTTCCCTAATCTTCATCAGCTCCTCTAATCCCAGGTTTCCCTAAGTAATAACAAACCATGTAAACGTGATGAGCTTGCCATAAAGCACAGCTTTAGGACAAGTCCCTGAGTTTCTCACTTCAATCCAGATTAGCACCCCAAGCCTCTGCAAAGGATTGAATCCAACTACATCGGAGCTTTAGTAAAGCGCTTAACACATATCCAAGTCAAGTCCTGATAGTTAAAAAATGGCGTTCTAGGCCGAGTGCAGTGGCTAATGCCTGTAATCCTGGCACGTTGGGACGTCAAGGCTGGAGAATTGCTTGAGGCCCGGGAGTTTGAGACCAGCCTGGAAAACCTAGTGAGACCCTATCTTTACAAAAATAAAAATTAAAACTTGGGCATAGTGCAGTGTGCCCGTAGTCCCAGCCAATCAGAAGGCTGAGCCCAGGATGCTAGCACTACAATGAGCTATGATCACACTGCTGCACTCTACCCTGGACAACAAAGCGAGACCCTATCTCAAAAAACAAAAAGTTCTAAAACTGGAGGCACAATTAAATCTGCAATATAGTTATCCCAAACTCAGACCAATTTACAGCCAAAACCACCTCCACCATTCCTGAGTGTTGAGAATGCCACCTTGCACTCCCTGCCACTCTGACTAGCCCTCAGTTCCCCCTTTTCCCCTATAGCACTTACCTCTCTTCCCTGCCATCAGGCCTGTGGTAGGTGGAATTTTGGCCCCTCAGTGAAATATGTTGAAGTCCTAGCCCTCAGCACCTCAGAATGTGAGCTTATTGGGGGAAATAGTGTCATTACAGATGTAATTAATTAAGATGAGGTTATACTAGAGTAGAATGGGCCCTTAATCCAACATGGTAATGTCCATGTGAAGAAGGCCGTGTGAAGATGCAGAGATACAGTGAGAACGTCGTGTGAAGATACAGCCAGAGATGTGAGTGATGCATGCAGGACAAGGAATACCAGGGATTGCCAGCCACCAGCAGAAGCTGGCAAAGAGGCATGGAACAAATTCTCCCTTGGAGATTTCAGAAGAAATCAATTCTGCCAACACTGTGGTCTTGGACTAGCTTCCAGAACGGTGAGAGCATACATTTCTGTTGTTTGAAGCCACCTGGTGTGTGGCACATTTTAATGGCAGCCTAGGAAATGGTGCAAAAGGCTGGACAGCCCTTTCTGAGCCTGGTCTCCATGGGGAGATATTTAGCGAAGGCTTTGACCAGCCTGTTGGTTTCATCATCCCTGCCTTGTTAGCAAATCGCAACTCTGAGCGGGACACACCATCTAATTTCCCTGTTCCTGGGCCTAGGCTGTCATGGAAATAGCAAAATTAGATGAATTGATTATGTTGCAAAGTCATTGTCTCCAACCATAACTTGCCCCTGTCTGAGCCTGAGCAATCTTTCATCACATTGAAGTACGTATCACAGAGATTCTCAACAGTAGGGAGCAAATGGCTCATGGTTTGAAATATAAACTTTGCCTCATTGTTTTACTTCATTTAAAATTTAGTTTGAATTTCTAAAAACATCAGAGGAGGATAGGGAATTTTTCTTTTTTGCAGAGGAGTGTAAAGGTGGATCCATATTTCCCTTTGCCTGAAATTAGCACAAGTGTGCATAAGTGGTGGAGTTGGGTTTCAAATGAATAAAGCAGCCTGCCTCCAGAGCCCACACTTCTAAACACCACTATACAAGACGCTCTTATGGTTTACTAGATTGGAAACTCCCGGATGACAAAAAGCCTTGTATGTTCCCTCTTTGCATCTTCCCAACTCCCTGACGCCATCCATCACACTTTGAAAACATTCAGTAAAAAGAGGCACATACTTGGGCAGAGTTTCCTTTTCTCTCAGCAGTAGGTGGATAAATAAGTGACTATTATGTGGCATTTGATCTAAATATTGCAGTTCCATTTCCTCACTGCTCCCTCTCCTCTCTTTTTCTCTTTTGTCTCTTTTTAACCCTCATTCTGTAGAGAAGGAAGGGCACAGGGGCCTCTTTCTACACTAAGGAAATCTCAGAGGAGTTCTCCCAGGCCCATAGAGACTTCCTGAGTAGCTCTCAAGCTGCAGCCCTCTTCAGCTGGCAGCTGTTCTACAGTTTGCAACCTCAGGTCATTCCAAAGAATGAACCTCTTGAAATAAACACAAAGGAATGGGGCCTTTTATTATCTCCAGATGGGATTGTGCGGCCTTGGAAGCTGTTGAAATAATTCTGCTGTGCCTGGATCAAATTTTGTTATCTTCCAAAAGGAAAGAAAGAGAGGAGTGGTAAATTGTGTTAATAGAAAGGTAACTCGGATTAAATTCTGCTGATAGGTCCCCTTCCCCCACTAAAACCCAGATTTTTACATTTACTTTTCATTTATTTTTGCATCCTCTTCCCCTTTTACAATAAGATATTAAGCGGGGCTGGAATACACACAAACACACACATACAAAAGGACGAAATTGTAAAACCATTGTTTTTGTGTTGTTATCCAAGATTTAGGTGGTGTTTTTTCAAATGAGGATGACATCTAAAAGAGAAAATACATGTTTTGTAGGGTACTATTTCGAAAGAAAGTATGATAAAGCATGTCTGTGATACCTTTATTTTTACTCTGTTAGTAGTGGCGAGCTGAGCCACTCTACATACATGGAGTCCAATAAACACCTATTGAACAAACACCATAAATACTTAGAATTTCGGGCTATAAACAATATAAAATATAATTTAAAAATTGATGGTCCCACCTATTGGTTATGATATAAAGTATAAAAATGATCACTTACATAATAAGTTATTTCATGTTTTCCAATCATGTTACTTATTCCCACAGAGATTCTTTGAGGAGCTGGAAGGCAAACTTGGTTCATGCAGACGTAAGGCACTAATATTTTCAACTGGGGTGCTCTCCACTGGGTGCCTATTAAATGCTCAGCACTTTGAAGGATACCAGAGAAGTAAAGGCCTGGCCCCTGACTTTAAGGAGCATTTTATCCAGTTGGTAAGAGACCTACCTACCACTATAACAAAATAATAAACAGCCTAAACAAAACAAAACAAATAGGAGGATGAGGCTGGGAGGGGCCCTTGAGGCCAAGAGTTTGAGGCTACAGTGCACTATGATCGGGCCTATGAATATAGACAGCACTCCAACCTGGGCAACAGAATAAGACCTTGCCTCTACAAAATAAAGATATAAAACAAAATAATAAATAGCCTGACATTAAGATGTATAATGTTCCTTCTATATAAAATACATAGTATATGGTAATCATACTTTCTAAATCCTCAGCGCAGTGTCCCGACTTAGGACATGTTACCCCAAAGTAGGGCACCTCACTTGGCTTAGTACTTTATGTATGTATGTATGTATGTGTGTATGCATGTATGTATGTATTTATTTATTTATCAAGAGGGAGTCTTCCTCTGTCGCCCAGGCTGGAGTGCACTGGCTTGATCTTGGCTCACTGCAACCTCCGCCTCCTGAATTCAAGTGATTCTCCTGCCTTAGCCTCCCAAGTACCTGAGATTGATTACAGGCACCTGCCACCACACCTGGCTAATTTTTGTGTTTTAGTAGACGGGGCTTCACCATGTTGGTCAGCTGATCTAGAACTCCTGACCTCAAGTGATCTGCCCGCCTCAGCCTCCCAAAGTGCTGGGATTATAGGCATAAGCCACTGTGCCCAGCCCTTGGCTGAGTACTTTAAACAGAAGGACACTGGAAGGGCCTCAGAAGCAAGTTTTCTCTGACCTTCTTCTGCTCTCCTGTCTCTTGCCCTCTTTTCTCCTCTAAAGCAAGTGACAGAAATCAGAATTCCTCTTCCCCACCACAGGCCCTAGAAACTAGGATCACATTTCTGCAAAGCAAGCCATAAAATCTAGAAAGGTCATTCTCTCCTTTTTACCTTGAAGACTCTCATTCCAGAGGGATCCTACCCATACCCAGGAGGAAGGAATGCTACATAAAGAGACCCAGAAGAATCTAAGCAGAAAGGCAGGCCTTGCTGGCCTTCCTCCCCAGTCTATTACAATAAGATCATACTCTCTTGTCCAATCACATTTCTAGATGGCTGTCCATTCTTCACTGAGCCTCAGCCTCAGCATAAATACACAGTTTTCCTTGCATCTTTGGGTATTCATTTCTTCTTTTTGGCGGGGGTATTCATTTCGAAAGGCTCCTATGTCATGTAAAACTTTGGTTAAATAAATTTGCTACGCCTTTCTCTTGTTAATCTGTCTTTTGTTACAGGAGTGTCAACTGTGACCTGTATGATGGGTCAAGAAAGGTACTATACCTTTCTCTTCCTATAGCAGGCAAAAATCTGTTTTGCCCGCCGCTTACCCTAGGCTTAGTATAGCACAAGTCCTGGCACTTAGTAGGCAATTGATAGAATAATTGAATTAAGTTGGGTCTCATGGTAAGATATATGTGGCTTATAGTATATTTTAAATTAAGACTGGCAAAACAGATCAGAACATATGTGTAAACACAGGAAGCAGGGCATGAATTATGTCCTAGAAAATTCCTCAAGGGATTTATAACCTAATACAGATGAAGCCATCAGTGCGGGGATCTTGTAGCCTTAAATTTGGTTCGAACTTGAGATTTTTGTGGTTTGCTGTGCCAGCCCACAGTTTTTCCTTAGGCGAGCACTGAGTTTTTGCTCAAAGTCCAAAAGCAAAGGAAGAAAAAAAGGCAGATGGTGGGTAGTTGCAAGACTATGAACATATTCTACTCCTGGAAGTCTTACGGACAGGAGTAATTCCTGGAGTATGAAAGTAGCCTAGAAAGATTTTTGCTTCCTCCCTCCAACCTAACTATGTGGCACAAAATATTCCTATAGTACTTGGTGATATGAGGCTGAGCACAATGGCTCATGATTGTAATCCTAGCACTTTGGGAGGCCAAGGCGGGTGGGGCACTTGCGGTTAGGAGTTCGAGACTATGGCCAACATAGTAAAACCCCATCTCTACTAAAATAAAAAAAAATTAGGTGGGTGTGGTGGTCCATGCCTGTAGTCCCAGCTACTCAGGAGATCGAGACCGGAGAATCACTTGAAACCTGGAGGCAGAGGTTACAGTGAGCTGAGATTTCACCACTGCGAGACTCTGATTCAACAACAACAGTCACAACAATAAAAACTTGGCAATATGTATTAAGAGTCTTAAAAATGGTCATATCGTTTGATCCAATACTTTTCCTTCTAAGAAAATATGTTGGCTGGGCGCAGTGGCTCACACCTGTAATCCCAACAGTTTGGGAGGCCGAGGTGGGTGGATCATGAAGCCGAGAGATCGAGACAATCCTGGCCAACATGGTGAAACCCCGTCTCTACTGAAAATACAAAAATTAGGTGGGCCTGGTGGCGTGTGCCTGTAGTCCCAGCTACTGGCGAGGCTGAGGCAGGAGAATAATTTGAACCCAGGAGGCAGAGGTTGCAGTGGGCTGAGATCGTGCCACTGCACTCCAGCCTCGTGACAGAGTGAGACTCTATCTCAAAATAAATAAATAAATAAATAAAGTTAAGGAAATAACCAGAAATGTGAACAGAGGCTTTTTGGAACAAAGGGAAAAAAACCTCTGTACTCAATATAAAAAGTTGTTTTCTAAAAATTTTATTAAGTAAAGTTTGCCCTAGATATAAGACAATTCTTACATAATATTTAAAAATATGGCAAAAAATTTTGTATATATAGGTTATCCCTGAATAGAAGGATTACAGGTTGTTTTGATTTTACTCTATTGTAAGAAAAAAATTTAAAGCCTTTGAAATTTAGTGGGTGTCTTGATTAGTGCATCCATTAATTTCTGCTTTCATTCTCTTTGACTAGTCTTTCATTAGACTATTTTACGACTTTGTAGAGAAAGGGGTTAACATGTAGAAAATTGACATTAATGTAAATGTTTCCTGTTATACTATGCAAATGATCCCTGTTTGTGTCAATGCAAATAAATTTTGTCTGGCAGGTAATATAGATTTCTGTAAATCCAATCCATCTGAACCAGCTATAACACCTTACTGGTTTTCTCATTAATTAATGAGTTAATTAAAATCTTTGATGTGTTCATTTTATATTTATATGGTAGCTGTATGTTTCCTTATTTTGAAAACTGTTTTTTAACACTATATAGTTTCTATTTTCTAAATTTCCTACCATAAGCATGTATAGGTAATTTGGTAAACTTTTTAAGTATAACATGCATGCAGAGAGGTAGGTACGTTTACAGCTCAATGAATTTTCACAAAATCAACACCTCTGTAGCCTTTGTAAGTATGATCAAGGAAAAGAATAATATTACCACCCCAAAGCTGCGCTTGTGCCTCCCTCTTAGCCACTATTATCTCCACCATTCCAACAGGTAAACACCATCCTGACTTCCAACATCACTGATTCATTTTGTCTGATTTTGAACTTTATATAAATGGAATCATATGTGTTCTCATTTGTGCCAGGCTTACTTTGCTCACCATTATGTTTGTGAGATTCATACATGTGGTTGTGCAAAGTTTTAGTTCCTTCATTCTCCTTGTTGTATAGTGTTCCGTTATATAAATAGATCACAATTTACCCATTCTGCTGTTGAACATTCAGATTGTTTCTAGTTCAGCGTTATTCCAAATAGCGTACCTATCACAATTTTTGTATGTATTTTTAAGTGAAAATATGAGTATATGTCTGGTGACTAGAGCGTGTATTGATTTAAAACATATTAAAAAAAACTGCATTAAAAATAAGTTTCTCAGCCAGACACGGTGGCTCAGGCCTGTAGTCCCAGCACTTTAGGAGGCTGACATGGGCGGATCACAAGGTCAGGAGTCTGAGACCAGCCTGGCCAACATGGTGAAACCCCATCTCTACTAAAAACACAAAAATTAACTGGGCATGGTGGGGTGCATCTGTAATCCCAGCTGCTCGGGAGGCTGAGGCAGGAGAATCGCCTGATCCTGAAAGGCGGAGGTTGCAGTGAGCCGAGATCTCCCTGTTGCACTTCAGCCTGGGCGACTGAGCAAGACTCCATCTCAAAAAAAAAAAATTTCTCCCTTTTTCCTACAAGTCTTTCTGTAAATATGAAATATTTTTTATTAATAAACTCTTGGATTTCTTCCTGGTTCAATCTTGGTGAGTCGTATGTATCTAGTAATGTATCTGTTTCTTCGAAGTTTTCCAATTAATCGGCATATAGTTGCTTGTAGTTGTCTCTAATGATCCTTTGAATTTCTGTGGTATTAGTTGTCACCATTTTTGTCTCTGATTTTATTTATCTGGGTCTTCTCTCCTTTATTCTTAGTCTGCCTAAAGATTTGTCCATTTTGTTTATCTTTTCAAAAATCCAACTTTTTGTTTCATTGATTTTTTAAATTGTTTTCTTCATTTCGATTTCATTTGCTTCTGCTCTGATCTTTATTATTTTTTCTACTAATTTGGGTTTGGTTTGGTCTTGCTTTTCCAGTTCTTTAAGATGCACTATTAAGTTATTTGAAGTTTTTCTCTTTTTTGAAGTCAAATGCTCTACCACTGAGCTACACCCCTGCGTCAGTTTTTCTCTTTTTTGATGTGGTCACTGATAGTTATGAACTTCCCTCTAAGTACTGCTTTCACTGTATTCCTTAGGTTTTGGTATGTTGTGTTTCTATTTTCATTTGTTTCAAGACTTTTTTTTTTTTTTTTTGAGACAGAGTTTTGCTCTTGTTGCCCAGGCTGGAGTACAGTGGCGAGATCTTGGCTCACTGCAACCTCCTCCTCCCAGGTTCAAGTGATTCTCCTGCCTCAGCCTCCTGAGTAGCTGGGATTACAGGCGCTTGCCACCATGCCCAGCTAATTTTTTTATTTTTGGCAGACACAGGGTTTCACCATGTTGGTCAGGCTGGTCTCGAACTCCTGACCTCAGGTGATCCACCCAGCTAATTTTTGTGTTTTAGTAGATTGGGCTTCACCGTGTTGGTCAGCTGGTCTCAAACTCCTGACCTCAAGTGATCTATCTGCCTCAGCCTCCC